GTCTAATCAGCATTGTCTGATATTCAAGTATTATCAGCATTGTCTGATATTCAAGTATTATCAGCATTGTCTGATATTCAAGTCTAATCAGCATTGTCTGATATTCAAGTATTATCAGCATTGTCTGATATTCATGTCTAATCAGCATTGTCTGATATTCATGTCTAATCAGCATTGTTTGATATTCATGTCTAATCAGCATTGTCTGATATTCAAGTTTTTTCAGCATTGTCTGATATTCATGTGTTATCAGCATTGTCTGATATTCATGTGTTATCAGCATTGTCTGATATTCATGTCTAATTAGCATTGTCTGATATTCATGTCTAATCAGCATTGTCTGATATTCATGTCTAATCAGCATTGTCTGATATTCATGTGTTATCAGTATTGTCTGATATTCATGTCTTATCAGCATTGTCTGATATTCAAGTATTATCAGCATGGTCTGATATTCATGTCTAATCAGCATTGCCTGATATTCATGTGTTTTCAGCATTGTCTGATATTCAAGTATTATCAGCATTGTCTGATATTCATGTCTAATCAGCATTGTCTGATATTCATGTCTAATCACCATTGTCTGATATTCAAGTTTTATCAGCATTTTCTGATATTCTTGTCTTATCAGCATTGTCTGATATTCATGTGTTATCAGCATTGTCTGATATTCATGTCTAATCAGCATTGTCTGATATTCATGTCTAATCAGCATTGTCTGATATTCATGTGTTATCAGCATTGTCTGATATTCATGTCTTATCAGCATTGTCTGATATTCAAGTATTATCAGCATTGTCTGATATTCATGTCCAATCAGCATTGTCTGATATTCAAGTATTATCAGTATTGTCTGATATTCAAATATTATCAGCATTGTCTGATATTCAAGTATTATCAGCATTGTCTCATATTCATGTCTTATCAGCATTGTCTGATATTCAAGAATTATCAGCATTGTTTGATATTTATGTCTAATCAGTATTGTAGGATATTCATGTTTTATCAGCAAGGTATTCATGTCTCATAAGTATTGTTCGAATTAACAACTTCTCTTTTGCTTGAAAGAACGATAATATCTTTCATATGATTGATCAGATAAAGGTTTAAAGTTTACCACTGTCAATCCTCTTTGAACTTAAAATGGTCCTGATATTGCAACACGTTTCAGTCAGGGGAGTACGAGGAAAGGGGGGCACAGGGTGCACGTACCCCCTCTACGGGTGCCCCCTTCCATGCAAAGGTGGGCCTTATCTATATATAAATTTGGCTTGTCTGTCTGTTTGTTTGTTTGTATCCAATAAACGTCAAAACGGCGGAACCGATCGGGCCCAAATTTTTTGTGGGACATCTAGGGACAGAACATGTTCACAATTAATTTAGAAGATGGGCGCGAAGCGCCCTAAAAGCCTAGAAAGAAGAGCGGGAAGCGACTTGAATTTCTAGTATATGTATGAAATGATTTTATATGATGTTGGGAAAAAATGATAAATTTGATTTTAAAAGGTAACTTAATTCATCCTTTTAAATATTTTTAAAACAAAAATTCAGGAAGCAAAAGTTATGGTAGCGCAAGCGATAAAAATTATTTTTGGTATTCAAGAATAAAATAAAAATTAGACATCAATATGCAAGTTTTTCATCTTTTTTGATTCTTTTTTTCCACAAATTCAGCAATTAAACCCCTCAACAATTATTTTAATATACCTTGCAAACACACCTAACTTCTATGGGAAAAAGTTATTTTTTTTACTGGGGCATCAGAGAGCATGTTTTTATCTTTTATTACAATTCATATTCAGCAAATAAACCCTACACATTTTCTTAACTTATTTAATTTCTGGGGGAAGGGGAAAATAATGTTTTAAAGGGGGAAATATTTTTAAGAAAGAAACTACGTTTTGCCACAAACTCAAACTTTCTAATCCCCATTTCTTTGTAACCTGATGATGTAAACATAATTTAAAACTTTGACTTTTAAGTTTTTCATAGTTAGCAAAACTAATTCATAGTTTTAAATATCAAANGATATGTGTTCTGAACCAGGGTAAGTCTACGTATGAAAGATATAAGGTTCTTTAATTATAGATGAAAAACTATACTAGTATTTTTGTCAAAATAGGGATTTTTAGGGGGGCACAAAATCTTCTAGGGGGTGTAAAAAAATGTCGGCGCGCTGGTGCATGCAAAATGTGCCCCCCCCCTTCACCAAAGCTCTCGTGCGCCCCTGTCACATCTCTAACATCAACATTGATTAGGAACCCAAAATTTATTTTTTTAATTTTATTATTATGTTTGTATCAGTGTCGTTTTTTAACTCACAAACAGATTTATGCTGCAGCCACAATGATGTAAATTTTCAGAATTCAACATTAATCTTTCTCATTTTTTCTTTTTTTCTAAAGGCTGAAAGGAAGAGTAGGAAATCATGTTCTCTTTAAAATTAGGGTCCTTTGAAATTCCAATTGCTGAGCACAGTAACCTTTGAGCAAATTTGTTTTCTTGCTTACCAATATCTCAGTAACATTATACATAATTCAATTTCTTTTCTTTATTTGTAATTTCTATGAAAATCTAAACAATTAATTTGTCTTATAACTGAATAAATCAGCCAAAAATTTGGCATTTTGGAAGACCGCGATTCAGCCTGGAGTTGAACATATCTTTCTCAGCATTTAGTTCCATCATCTTAGAGAGCAATGTTTTAATTTGAGTTTCTTATTTTCTGTATTTTACTCACAGCCTTTATACTCATGCGCATGTTATTGATCATCAAATTCATCACAACCAACCAATCTTTTTTTTTAAAGTTATTGGTTTTCATTACTTTTCAGGTCGACAAAACAGAATACTTCCTGCAGCGATTTTCAGTTTTATGTATTAAAAGAAGCTTAAGAAGTTTTTTTGTGTTTAGGGTTTCCACGAAATGACCATATTTTTGGCGCAAATATTTTGTTTGCGACCTTTTGCACATGAAGCGCAATAAGTTTTACGTAATTTGCGCAAAACCGGAAGTAAATTTTTACGCAAAACATGTTATTGCAAATTTACCAAAATTGACGGTTTCAGCACAGAATCAAACAACTGAAGGTTTATTAAAAAATTTACATAGAAATAAATTATGATTCTGCTGTTCTCAATTGGTTACTTTTAGTTACAAAATCTTCAAATTGAGGGACAAAAATCAATAAAACAGAAATTAGATGATGCGTAGTTTTTTTAGATGTCTGAATCTTTTTGTGTTGTTAAACTTTGATATTTCAAATGTTGACTACTTCTAGTCGAATGCACATGATTGAAATATCAAAGTTTAACAACACAAAAAGATTCAGACATCTATAAAAACTATGCATCAAAATTTAATTTTCAAATTTATAATTTCTGTAGACAACACTGAAACTTAGTCATCAAATTTGTATAAAGCCTTGACTTTGAAGTGTCGCAACGCCTCGACCTTTGGTTTTACCTCGCCAACTCACTGATACTGTTTTTGTAGGACTAGACATATTACATTTTAAAATTGCTACGCACCTGTTTCTATCTTAAGTTTAAAATGAGTAATTGGCAAAATACTGCTCTACTTTTGTGTGAGATCGTGCACACCTTGATTTGCAGTGTGCCATCATGCATCATGCATCATGCATCTGGTTGAAAAACAGAGTTTTAGGCAAGTAACCATTTCCTTTTTAAGCAATGTTGAGGGAAATGAAGTTTTCTAATGATTGCGCAAAGTGCTATTTTTTGGCGCAAATTCTAGCGCAACGGAAACAAAAAAAATGTGCTTTCTTTCGAAAAAATTGCGCAAAAGTTTTTTTTAGTGCGATGGGTTTTCGACAAGAAACAAAGTACCATGAAAATAGTCGCTTTGTAATATTTCCATCACTGGCTTAGTTACAATTTTATGCATACAAACATTTTCTGTCTTTTCAAAGTGGGTTGAGATGTTCTTGCCAGTATTTTTTCCACCAATTAGTCTTATCCTGCTCTTAACATTTAATGGATGTTTGGCCATCTTCATCCGATTTTATTGGTTAATTTTGAGTTTTACCATCTTGTGTGGTTTTCTTAAAAACACTCTTTATGTCTCATCTTTGATATTTGCAGGCGCGCTGGAAGAAAGGGTTTCAAACTACGTTGAAAATATGCATTTGTTTTTTTCTTCAAAACATCAAACTTGCATTTTAAATTCTTAATATCTTGCTTCGAAAAAGGAGACAGATACTCGCCAGTTAAATGTTTTGCAGATACATCATATAAAAATATGAGTTTTATGCCTCGGCACAAAATGATCCACACACATTTTTATTATAAAATAATGAATTTTTTATTTTTAGATTAAATACAAACAAAAACATTATCATGAAACTACACAAAAAGAAACTAAGCACTCAAACTATATGATTGTCTAATTTTTATATCTATTTAACCTAAAATGGTGAAAAGCTTTGACTTTTAGACCAAGCAGATCACTTCTTTTGAAATATCAAAGGCCAGTGATATAAGATATAAGGGCACAGTCACAGTAAAGTTAAAGGCAGATGCAGTTCTTTAAATAATAAAAATACTATAATCTCACAATAGATAGTTCATCCTCGTGTACAATTACAATTTATTATTTACAATTTAAGTTCTCATTAAAGACATTATTAGCTAGTAAGGTTATTATACCGGAAAATTTCCAGTTTTGAAATGGAATAATCCAGAAATTTGTTCCGCAAATCAGAATTCTAAAAAATTTCCAAATGAAATGGAACCTGGAATTTTTCTGGTTTACATTGTAACCCGGAAATCTTTCTGGTTTACGGAATGGAAACCGGAACTTTAAGGAACTCTGTTTCTGAATTCTGGAACGCCAAGCTCTAGGAAAAATCGTTCCAGAAAGGAATTGAGTCTTTGCCACAAACTCTGATTTTCTAATCACTTTGGAGCCAAATGTTAGACCTTAGATATTTCAAAATATGAATTCTGTTACATCAAATAATCAGAGTTTGAAATATCAAAGGTTTACAACTTCGGGTTCCAAAGATTCAATTCCTTTCTGGAACAAGGTTCCGAAATAACATCAAAAAACATCTTAAACTTATTTTAAAAAAACAGTAAGCAATACAACCTTCATATGATTCAATATATGAAAAAATTTGGTGTTTTCCATGGAGAACCTTACCCCTTTATGAGTTTTAATCATTTAAACACAAATTTATAAATTAAAACCAATTTTAAAACATTTAAAATTTTTAAATCAGATATTGTAAATCTCAGATATATAAATACATAGCTAGAGTTTTCTGTCGTATTTAAGATCAAATGCTGCGGAAAATGGTTTTACATATCAATTGCTGTCCTTTATATTTAAGGGCTATTAATTTACCTAGACATAAATAATAAAAAGCAGTTTCTAAAAAATTATCAAAAAACTTATGACTCTACAATGATATTTGGATAAAATTTTCATAATTCATATTCAACCCTTTAAAGCTGCAAACATCTAGCAACTTTATTTGCAGACAGATGATGAAACGTTACAGCTCTAAAGCATTTTAAAATAGATTTCAAGACGTCATTTCATGCGCTCTTGCTATGTTTTCTTTTATGCATGCACATTTTGTTTAAAAATGAATTACTAAAATTGTGTAGAAATGATGTCAATACTACATCAGGTTATGTAATGGAAACAAAATTTTTAAGTTTAGGGAATGAATTTCGTAAAAATTTTTAGGTTAACTAAATCGAAACCAGACAATTTCTGCTGTACAGAAAAGAAACCGGAAATTTCTGAAATCCTGTCCCAGAATTTTGGAACAAATGATTCAGGTCCTGCATGTACAGAAATATATTTTTTTTCACCTGGTCTACATAATGTGACCCAAACAACGTATAATGAAAATAAACCATGTCATATCTTTTAAATTTTTTCATGAATTTTAGTAGTACTAATTCTTGTTGAGACTGTAGTTTATCTGTGGGTCTTCATTCAACGGTTTTCACTTTTCAAGAGGCCATTAAAATTTTCTAGCCCCTCTCCTCTGTGAAAGCCCTGGATGGGATGAAATGAGACACATAAATAAGAATTTAAAAAATTTAAGTATTTTAAAGCCATAAATATGACCGCCTAATAGTTCACACTAGTATAACTTCAACTACATCTAAATCAGGTATGCATTCTATTATGTAGTTAATATTACTTACTGTTCTTTTCTTTTGAATTGTTATAATGATAAAGCTGATAACACATGATTATGAGTATTCCTTTAGGAAGCCATTTTATATTTAATTTCAGCTGTCATTAAAGGCAATGGTACAAGAATTAGCTCTATATTCAATTCAAAATTGATACTGCCTGAATTGCATGCATGAGCATTGTGCAAGCAGAGAGTGAGCCATTTCATATTATTTTCTTGTTTGACACTAGAAAGTTATGATAAGTTAACTTTTTCTCCTTGTCATGATTAAATCAATCAGTATTCATAAAATCAAAACAAACACAGATAAAATTTGAATATTCATATGCTTTTAAAGATTGGTGATGATAATATTTCCAAAACATATTTTTCAATTATAAAATAGATTTTCTCCTTTCAAAGCAAACTTTTTGTTTTTAAAAGAATAAATAAATATTTAAAAGGACTGTATAAGCGAGAAAAAATGGGGTATAGACTTAATTCAATATTTATGGGTTGTAATATCTGAATAATTAATTTTAAATTTAATTGAATTATTTACAATCTGAGTGAAATGTTGCAACCTCATGAATTTTTATGTGTTTAACCCTTTTTTCCTTATATGCTCAACAGATTAAAATAAAATTAGCAGTGATTAAATATTGAATTTAATTCGATATCAGCCTATAACCCCTTTTAATTTGTTTGCGAACACTTCCTTTAAGGAACCCTGGCCAAGTCTTTTAAAGAACAATATTTGCTATCAGATCATTGTACTTAGAATTGATAAGCTTCCATGAATGTGTAGAGTGAACATGTTTCTCTCCTATTCAAGAATGCATCCTACCAGAACTTTAGCATCTGCAGGCATAATTGTGCAATCTCCATTATTGTGCGGATGAACAAGGTTTAGACCAATATCTTCATGGCGCTCATTTATTGGATTCCACATATACAAGTTTCTTGTTGAAAATGAGTATCTGTTACTGTATCCCCCCATCTAAATTTTTAATTTTAATAATTTATTTTTTGGATAAGGGTTGTGGGCACAAGCTCACACATACAAATAAAAACGAGATATCAATAAATCTATTTCTAGTTTGTTATCAAAGTCTTTCTATTATTTTGTTCTGCTCAAGATTAGTTAAAAGTCATACACCCCAACGTTTTGTGTTGCGCCATTGTCTTAAAAACTTGACTATGGGTAACCCTTTAAACCATAGTGAACGCGGGCTGATCTTGCTTCCTTTTTTTTCCTTAGGCTTAACTATTTGGTTTGGTTAATAATATGATTTTTGTAATCCATGAAGCGTTGATTTGCCAATGACTTGTAGAAGGCTGGATTTTCAAACATAATTGAGTTATGTTCTTTTGTCCTTTTCTCAGTCAGTCATGAAAAGTAAAAAGAAAGAAATACGAAAAAAATTTTCCTTTTAAGAATTGATTTTGTTTCTTTTGTCTTTTCTCTTCCATCTAACCTTTCCTATCTTTTTTTAAAATCTGTGTTCACTGTCCGTAAAAAATTCTCTCTCAAATTCTCCTACTTAACTTTTCCTTACTTACTAGTGCTATCCTTTCTGCACTTTAATTGGATCAGCCTGTGCAAATGTCATGTTCATCAGTGCCCATCATTAGTCTATAGCTTGACAAAAACACAACACTCCGGCCAGAATATATTCCCCTCAACCTTCTTGTAAAATAAAATAAGAATATCCCCCCATCTAAATATATAAATAATAAATGTGAATATTTTCTAATCATATTCTAAAAAGTACATTCAAAATCAAAAATAAATATACCTCAAAACTTTCATATGGTGTAAGTGATATAATAGTAGAATAATATGAGGTGTATTGGGGAGTTGTAAAAGTCATCCATCCTCCACTTCCATTTGCTTCATAAACAGAGAGATCAAAAAACTGTTGTCTAGATAGATTGTCACCAACTAAAACAATAATCTTATTTCCAGTTCCTCTTCGTCTGATTATAACGCAGGCCATGTTATTCCCTGACCAGTATAGAGAAGGCATTGCTGACCATATGTTAGAAGAAATTGTATAAAAATAAGCATTAGAACGTGAATTTCCTGCCATGGAATATATCCTGTCATATCCTGGGTCAGGCACAGCACAATGTCTATGTACGGGTACAGGATAAGAGGCAACAGTAACCCATCCCTTAGATTCTGTCCATCTGTCTACTTGAGTAAGGTCTCCACCATTATGACCTGCAATTGCAAATGCAGCATCACCATAGGTAGTAAATTCATAATAACCTCTTGTTATAGGCATGCTTGCCATTGTACTCCATGCAGGAGAATGCTCATTAGTATCCAAAAAAAAGCAACTGCTCAAATATGGACCTCCATAGTTATGACCACCACAAATCATTAACCTGTAATCCACAGCTGTAACACCAGTTGCAAATCTACCAGGAGAGAAAGGTGGAATCTTGTTGTGACAAGTTGCAGGAAGATGAGGATCTCCTTTCCTTAACCTATCCCTGAGGAGAACACTCCAGGTGTCTGGATAATCTGAACCAGATGTTGTGTGACCTCCCCAGCATACAGCAGCATATTCTCTTAGTGAAACACAGTCTTGCAGAGCTTTGAAGTTGTTGGATTTCTTAACAGTTGTCCAATAACCAGCATTCATTTCATTTTGAAGATATAAGTATTTATCTTCAAAATTGTTTGTCTCTTGGTTGAATTCAAATATATTCTTTAGACTGTTTCCATATCTTGTAGTTGATGAACCCATTAAGAATGCACTGTATGGGGTTAAAGTTATCATTCGCATCAAATTTTGACGCCCATTACCAAACAAATTGCTTGCTTGCTTCCATCCACTATTGTTTGAGAGATCATAATATATCACTGCTTCTGTTCTTCCTCCTTTAACAACAAGCAACCATTTCTCCCCAGTGGTCTTGATAATGATTCCACAACTGGGATCCATCACAGCTTGATTACCAATAAGATTGCTATGAAATACCCAAACATTCTTAGAGACTGCATAATAGTATACTTGCATTTTATCACCAACGTTACATTCATGTCCACCAATCATCCATATTCTATCCTCTTCAACATCAGCAATTGAACAATGACGATGATTTGGATATGGTAGATTTGCTCTAGATGTCCATATATTTGTTTGATGATTAAACTCATGCAATGTGTTTATGCATCCTCCACCTCCAACCCAGTAATCATATCCCCCAACAATGTAAATTGAAGTTTGATAAGTTAGCATTTCAAAATTTCTCCTCTTTCTAGGTAAGTTCGGTGAATTGGTCCATGCTCCATTATCAGCATTTAAATCAAATTTTTTACAGTCAATTAGTGGATCTTTTGCGTTATAGTAGTGTCCTCCACAAATATAAAGCCAACCATCTAGCTCAGCCATTCCTGGACTATATCTTCCTTGAATATCACCAATTTTGTGATTAACACAGGTATATCGCTGATTTGTAAAAACAGTAATCTGGTTTGGATAAACAGATCCATCAGTTGTATGACCTCCAAACCCAATGGCAATCATTTCATCTGAATTATCTGTACAGAAAAAACTTCCAATTGTGTTTACACACTTTTGTTCAATTGCATTCTTTCTCATATTTCTCCAGTACCCTACTTGACCTGCTCCATAGTTTTCCACTCCTATTTTGCTTATAACCAATGGTTTCGGTTCTTTATAGTTTGCAACACATAAAGTATTTTTGCTGTTGTCTAAAACTTTGATTATTGTGTCTCCTGACTTTTTATCATAAAACAAATTCATGAAAAAAAGGTTAAATTTGCTATTGGATAGGGATGCAATTGAGGTAGAGCTGAACAAGATCACACAGTTAATAGTCTCACATCTGCTAATCTCTGAAGCACCGGCCCGTAAAGTTATCATGTAAGAAATAGATAAATTTGCATTTGCAACATAAAATTGTGCTTTATTTTCAATAGCAACCTCAAATCTGAAAGTATGTTGCTGCTCATCTCCAATGTCTGAAAAGCTGACGTCAAAGTATTTCATCCCATTATTTCCAAATGTTTCAGCATTATATCCTGGGTAGCTGTTACAGTTATGCCAGTTAGGATTGATACATTCATCAATATCAGTACACCCTGCTACAGGGTCTCCAGTGAAACCAACCTTGCAAGTACATACAAAGGTTCCTGGGAAATTCCAGCAGTTAGAGTTTGCACCACAGTTATTAGTTCCAACTCTACACTCATCTATGTCAATACATCCACTGTGCTCAGCAAAATCTTCATAACCTTGATTACAAGTGCAAGTGAAGCTTCCAATTGTATTTGTGCAAACAGTGTTCCGCCCACAATACAATAAACCTTCAAATTGTCCATTGTTTGGGGAACATTCATTTAATTCAGTGCAATATGGCTTTGCTGCTGATATAACACAATAGTGTCCAGGAATACAATCCTCATTATCTTGACATCCAACCTCATTTTGTCCACACAGATGGTAACGTTTGTTGCATGGTCTATAACAACAATTGTCAGTTGATGTAAACTCAAATGTTTCAGAATTTCTAGGAAAAATATGTCTAGGAAAATAGATTGTGTTAAGACAATAATCATTTCCACATTTCAGCCAACCTCGTTCACTGTTTTTACAGTCTGAATCTGAATCACAGTGTCCACCACCCTCATCGCATGGATGTTCTGGAGTACATCGCTTTTCACAGCAATCATCTTCCTCATCCCACCTTCCTCCTGGTTGTCTCCATTTCATGCAGTTGTTATGTCCACACATAAGAACACCAGAACAGTCATTATCTGTGTTGCAGTCTCCTTCTCCAATGCCACAAAGATTCAGTTTCCCTCTGTTACAACAGTGCTCTCCGCCACGACAGATCCTGTCAATCAGAGGCGGAGCTTCAAAATCAATCATGATTTCTTTTTCTTCTTCACCAACAGCTGGATCTTCAAGAAATGCAAGATTTGCCAAGTCACAAACTTTGGAGTCCTTGTCATAACTGAAAAATAATTGACTTTTTTTTTGATTTTATACAGGGTTACGATAAAGGACGAGACATTAATAAAGACTTATAACTCTTCAAAAATGATTTTATTTAGTTTGATTGTGGTAATTTGCCTTGAAAATAGTATGATTTTCCAAAAATACTTCTTTGACCAAGATTTGCTAAATTTTTGCTTGTAATACAGTTTGTCCTGTAATTGATTTCATGTCTTGTGTTTAAACCTTGAAAGGTAATATAATACGCAGACAAATTCTGTTCATTGTGTACCGGGTGGAGAACAAAACGTGATGACTTAAAAATGACAGAGTGTCATGTTTGATGTAAAGCTTGGGTAAAATGTTATTCTGAGCAATTTCATTTATAAATTTCATTCAAATTATTCTGCAATGTGGAGTTAAACTAACTTCATATACTTTTACCTTTTACATGAGAAAACACAGAATATGTAAATAATGCTTAAGCAGGTGCACATGAGTTATGAATAGAGGTTCCAGTGAATAAAAACAGGTGCACATGAGTTATGAATAGAGTTTCCAGTGAATGTAAACAGGTGCAAATGAGATATTAATGGAGTTTGCAGTGAATGAAAACAGGTGCACATGAGATATGAATAGAGGTTCCAGTGAATAAAAACAGCTGCATATGAGTTATGAATAGAGGTTCCAGTGAATAAAAACAGCTGCATATGAGTTATGAATAGAGGTTCCAGTGAATAAAAACAGGTGAACATGAGTAATGAATAGAGGTTCCAGTGAATAAAAACAGCTGCATATGAGTTATGAATAGAGGTTCCAGTGAATGAAAACAGGTGCACATGAGTTATAAATAGAGTTTCCAGTGAATGAAAACAGGTGCACTTGAATTATGAATAGAGTTTTTAGTGAATGAAAACAGGTGCACATGAGAAATGAATTGAGTTTCCAGTGAATGAAAAAAGGTGCACATGAGATATGAATAGAGGTTCCAGTGAATGAAAACAGGTGCACATGAGTTATGATTAGAGTTTTTAGTGAATGAAAACAGGTGCACATGAGATATGAATAGAGTTTCCAGTAAATGAAAACAGGTGCACATGAGTTATGAATAGTGGTTCCAGTGAATGAAAAAGGTGCACATGAGTTATGAATAGAGGTTCCAGTGAATGAAAACAGGTGCACATGAGATATGAATAGTGGTTCCAGTGAATGAAACAGGTGCACATGAGATATGAATAGAGTTTCCAGTAAATGAAAACAGATGCACATGAGTTATGAACAGTGGTTTCAGTGAATGAAACAGGCGCACATGAGTTATGAATAGAGGTTCCAGTGAATGAAAACAGGTGCACATGAGATATGAATAGTGGTTCCAGTGAATGAAATAGGTGCACATGAGTTATGAATAGAGTTTCCAGTGAATGAAAACAGGTGTACATGAGATATGAATAGAGGTTCCAGTGAATGAAACAGGTGCACATGAGTTATGAATAGAGTTTCCAGTGAATGAAAACAAGTGCACATGAGTTATGAATAGAGTTTTCAGTGAATGAAAACAGGTACACATGAGTTATGAATAGTGGTTCCAGTGAATGAAACAGGTGCACATGAGATATGAATAGAGTTTCCAGTAAATGAAAACAGATGCACATGAGTTATGAACAGTGGTTTCAGTGAATGAAACAGGTGCACATGAGTTATGAATAGAGTTTCCAGTGAATGAAAACAGGTGCACATGACATATGAACAGAGGTTCCAGTGAATGAAAACAAGTACACATGATTTATGAATAGAGTTTCCAGTGAATGGAAAACCAAAATTGCAAACATTTTGCACGAAACCAACAATGCAAAATTTTGAGAAAGTTTTGTTTTCAAGAAACAAAATAAAAAAATTGCGAGATTTCCTCAGATCTCTGAATACTCATTTTCTTTTACTTAAATCAAACATATCTTAAGTGAAAATATTTTGCAAGCTTCTACGTTTAATTAACGCATATTTAAAAATCTCTTTAAAAATACTTTATAAAAAATGTTTATAAAAATAGGTTAATTATGCTCACAAAGATGCACATGAACTAGCAATACCTAAGCAAGTGCAGAATATGTTTGGTTTAGATTTGACTCAATGGAGTCTTATTAGTAAAAAGAATGGTTGTATCAAATAGTATTAAATGGAAATTTTAAGCTTTTAGTAATGTCCAAAAATGCAAATTAGTTGAAAACTTAATTATTCTGAATAAACTGTAATGTATTATCGGACTTTCCATACATTAAATGTGCTGTGATCATGATACAAGTTTTTGGTGTGAATGTTCAAAAAAGTGTTAATCAATTTGAAATTGAGGCTCTCTCATCAACTACTATCTATTTAGATAAATATACCTGAAAGCATTACAAAAAGATCCATGAATATGTTCCAAGTGACTGCACTGAATCCCACATTTTTTTATGGATTGAACTTTACTACTTTTAGTTAGGTGAGCGTAGAAGGATGTTTCTGATATATTCTTGGTACTGATGACAAAAATTAGTTGTTGAACATAGTTTTTTACAATTTTGAAATTCACCTAGAAAACAGAAAATATGCAAAACAATTTACATAGGGAAAATGGTTTGGAGTAAAAAAAAGCAAGAAAAATGACTTTCAAAGTTAACGATTAAATTTTATATTTCTTAAGAAAATTCTGTTTTCATGTTACCTAAGATGATTTATTTCCATTTTAAAACTTTTCCTCCCCTTCTTCCAAATTTTTTTTTTTGACATTGAATAATATTTTTTTATTCTTTCCAAGAATTGGGAAATTCCACCTTAAATTAAATTTTTTTTGTACACCTCTTCTTAAATTGTTAAATATTGCATAAAATGGAAAAAAATTTCAGAGTACATGAACAAATTTGCCTTTAAAAATAATATTAATTTGTCATCCCTGAAGTAAAGAGTCTGAGAAACTGCTGTTGTTAACATGCAGATCAGAACTCCCAGGCATAGCATTCTAGATTGAAAAATAATATTCAAATTTATAACCATTTTTTTCATCTATTTGTTGGATTGTTTTTAGTTGTTCACTAAAAAATTAAAATCTAGGAAATCTGAAAATAAAACAGTAAATTTTGCAAAATTATTTATTTCGCTTGCATAATAATAAGCAACAACAAGCTGAAATTATTAACAGCAAGAGCTTTTTTAATATGTAAGTTTTAAATCTGTAGCTCAAATAATAAAAAAGTATGGGACTTCTTTTGCTGAAGGCTCTGTTCTAGAACAAGGAAGGATAGAAATTTTCAACGCTCTTTATCATTAACAATTATCCACTGTTTCCACAAAGAACGAAGCAGATCAGAATGGGAATGCCGCAATTGGAAAAGAACAAACAAGAAAAATAAATAATTTAGCTGAAGGCCCTCTTACTAGAACAAATAATGAACAATTTGAAAAATATTGGAACACGCGATCTGCCCTACTAATAATGCAATATGATCAGAGCTGAAAACTTTAGAATGGTGGATATCAAGATTAATGCTTAAATGGTTTTACTAAACCTTAGATTATGTTAATACGCATTTGATATCCAAGAAAGAAGTTAAAAATTTAACCAATCAGCATGTCATAATAATATGTACTCTTTAACTTTTGAAAAACCAGTTTTGATTTCTGGTGTTGATGGTGTCATATCAATTAAACTAAACATCGATTGAACGAACGTACGTTTTGGATTAATGTTCATTAAGACTAACGTTCAAAATGACAATAGTCCTAATATATGTTTTTTAATAATTTCATTTTAACATGATTAAATTTATATTTCTTTAAATGCCGGCTTGTGAACAGCTGACTTTAATTCAATCGGATATTATTAGTCCGATCAATACAGCATTCAAGCATATCTTTTATACAGAAGAAATATCCAAAAAGAGGATTATAAGGATCGTGATTAAGGATATCTCATTCTAAAGTTTTCAGCTCAGGAGAGATGAAAATGATTAAACTATAACAGGCCAAAATTTTACATACTTAAAAACCAGAAAATTGGGCTTCTGAATAAAAAAATATCTCTTCATAGTAAACGTTTGTTTTGAGATTTTCGAGTTCTTCTTGTAAATAAAACATATCTCCCAAATCATTCAAGTTAGATCTGAGGTTCAATTAATCAAAAAATGAATTTATAAGAATTCAACCCGTTTTAAGATAAAAAACAGCAATATCTTTTTTATTTTGCCCAAACATTTAAAGTATGCATTAAATCCCTCTTTCAAGAACAAGAAGTCAGAATTCATTTGTCCCAGATATTTGATCATTTCTTGTTCATTCTTAAATGTTTGTTTTCAATGTATGGTAGTTGAACTGAGATTGCAGTATTATTGAGAAATATTTTAGGATTTATTTGAGACCTATCAGACGTTTTTACGGTCCTACACATTGTCTATTTTGGAGAGATGATTTTGAGAATTGATTTTATTTAAATTATTCAATCACTACCACGAAAAATATAACAAAAATTCGACAGTAAGTTAATTAGTTTTTTAGGAACAGTTTAAGAGAATAAAAAAAATTACTTCTTATTATCGAAAATAAGTAATCTATTTCATTTATTGGTTTCTTTAATGTCTCAATGTTCAAAGCCATTTTCTGTAGATTTCCTGGAATTTCTAATGAAAAGACTACACTTGCAGAATTAAAAAAATGAGAAATATGTTCCAAAACATCTATTCAGTTTACTGTAGAAATTTTGATAAATTTTTCTTCGTCATTTTTGAATAATTTTTATGAAACCAATTCTCAAAATCATAACTCTAAAATGTACATTGTATGAGGATTTTAAAGATTGAATTTGCGCCGTAAAAACGTCTGATAGGTCTCAAATGAATCCTAAACATTTCTCAAAAATACTGCAATCTCAGTTTAACTACCATACATTGTCGATCACTCCCTTTAATATATTTTTTTAAAGCAGGACTTGGCTCAATTTTCTATTTAGTAAAATGACGGTTGGTCTGGTACTTCCAGAATTGTTCTTTCCAAATAAAAATAATATTTTAGGTGGAAGTAATCTTTTGCAGCAAGTTTAAATGTTCATTTGCAATTGTTCAGATTAATTGTTATATTGCCAAAATTAAATAATGTTATTAACATTAAAATAGGTTTTCATAAAATAGCTATAAATTAAATATAGTTGTGTACAAAAGAAAGACAATATTTTGAAAATAAACTCTGTTAAATCTGTTAACCTATAAAGCAAAATCCTTCAATTTTGAATGAAAAAAAAAATTTAAAAAAACAGAAAATAATAAGGATTACTTTGAAGAAGCTTCGAAAAAAAGCCTTATCTGAATAGAAAGTTCAGTTCTTAGATAAGAATGAACAGATATAAAAAAATTTGGTCTTTTGAAAAAATTTCACTTGTAAAAAAATGATTTTTTAGCCATATATGTTACCCCCAACTCAAAGCTTTCCATAAAAATGTTCAGCAGTTTGACCAGCTAAAGCTGACATATAAATATATATAGATACATGCATATAAACATATGTGAAAAGCTTTATTACATAAATATTATGTATAGAAAAATACAACTGGGTTAAATTGTATTAAATGGGTAAATGTACCTTCTCCTTGGATAGCCTTCCCCTAAATGTTCCTCAAATGTCAGGAGTTCATTAATTTTTAATGACATAGAGAATTGGACCGGAGCAAACAGGAAATATAAAGTACTCATATCAATGTTCAGCAGAGATTCTGGGGAGGACAACAATTAATTTCTACCAAATTACAATATTGTGTTTTTACTTGATTCCTGTCAACTTTTTAAACATTTTGGAATTTTAATTTTTTACATTTAAAGGGAGTGTTCGCGAAAAATGAAAGGGGGTATAGGCTTAATGCGATAAAAAAGCGCTTTTGATCGCTACTAATCTTACTTCTATCTGTTGCGTCTGTAAGGAGAAAATTGTTAAAGACGTCTCATACCGAATAACATGGCGTCCAAACAAATTGAGAAAATTGCAACAAACGACTTAGACCGTAAAAAAATCAATTTAATTTCAAACAAATCATTTAGATATTACAACCAATAGTCATCGATTATCTTTCGCCACATTTGTATATATTTGATATTTCATACTAGTTTTGATTTTGTTTTTTAAAATAATATTTAGCTTACAACTTGTTTTCGAACATTCCTGGAAAATATGAAAATGTCGTCTTCATTACAAGGAGCCAAAACAAACCAACAACAATTAGTTTTTTCCCTTTTTATAATAAAAACATTGTTGCAAAAATTTTTAAATGTAAACTTTTACAAAAAACTATTTTTTATGTTGAAACCATGCATCTGCCTCCTTAAAGGGACTGTAAAGGAAAAATGAAAGGAGGCTGAAACCTGAAAATCTCAGGAGTTGATTGAGACATATAAGAGTTCTATCTAATGTTCCTGTCTCGAGAAATTGATATTAAACGATTATTTTTCGATGCATTCTTATAAAGTTAATATTTCATAATATTTTGATTTTGTTTTTTTTAAATAATATTTTTCTGGCGCTGGATTTTCGAACATTTCTGGAAAATATGAAAAAGCCCTTATTTTTTGCCGTAAGCCAATACCCCCTTTCATTTTTCGCGAACACTCCCTTTAAAGGGGAAAAACAAAACAAAACATGTAAAAACTTACCAAGTCATCACATTGAACGAATGATTTAGATATAGATAAACAGACAGATAGATATATTTGACTAAATATTTGACTAAATAACAATTACAGGAACAACAATTTTTACATTTTTATTTTGCCAGGACCTTCTTTACCATTACTGGTTATTTTTGAATGAGAGGCCATTTTGAAGCGATAAATACATGTTAAATTAAAGAAAAACTAAATAAAACAAAACAATTTAGAACTTAAGAAAGTAACGTGAGGTGAAGGAAAAGGTATTGAAGAATAGAGAGGAAAAGGAGTAGATAAAGGAAAGGTATTGAAGAATAGAGAGGAAAAGGAGTAGATAATTTACCATTACTGGTTATTTTTGAATGAGAGGCCATTTTGAATGAGAGGCCATTTTGAATGAGAGGCCATTTTGAATGAGAGGCCATTTTGAATGAGAGGCCATTTTGAAGCGATAAATACATGTTAAATTTAAGAAAAACTAAATAAAACATACAATTTAGCTAAAGAAAGCAACGTGAGGTGAAGGAAAAGGAAAGGAGTAGATAGAGGAAAGGTATTGAAGAATAGAGAGGAAAAGGAGTAGATAGGGGAAAGGTATTGAAGAATAGAGAGGAAAAGGAGTAGATAGAGAAAAGGTATTGAAGAATAGAGAGGAAAAGGAGTAGATAGAATCGTCTGGTGGGGTGGACAACCCATCACACAAAGTTTATAATGTTAAATGTTTTATTATGCTATGTTATAATAACAGGGGAAAGGGGAATTGAATAAAGATTTAGCAAGAAAAGCACACTTTCGATTTATACAATTAAAATTACTATATTCTTAAAGAAAACTTTTTTTTTAACTTGTTTGAAATA